CTTTAAGTATAAAAATATTATTCCTTGATTCGAAGTTCATTACAAGTAATATAATTGCACATTTATGTGAAACAACTATTTTAAAAATGTGTAAGTTTCGTGAAATTTGCAGTTTTGTGTTATCATTCAAGTATTTAACATTTATCACTATTATGTGAATTAATTTCCTGTTTTGTCAAAATTTTTAACAAATAATTTATAAAGTTTTGTCATATTATATTAATTTCGCAAATACTTGACTTTATAATGTCAAGTATTTACCCTTCCCTTGATCCTTGACTGGTCCCTCAAATACTTGAAAGTCAAGGCGGAATACTTGACCCTGGTCACGCTAATGAAGGGAGACCTTATTATTTTAACAATGATTGGCAAAAATGGTAGTTTCTGGTTGTAGTCTATGTTTTTGGTCATTAATTCACTTAATTTACTGACACCTGAAATGTTATAAAAATATAATGATTTTATTTATGATGTATTTTCCTGAAATGATTGACAACATAACCCTTATAAATATAATGTGAGATTTAGTTTAAAACTATTTATGGATAACAGCCACTTAATTACTATTTGTTTAACATTTTAACCGAAACAACTTTATTTCTAATTTTTTCGCTATTATTATAAAAACATAATGCACATAAATAAACAATATAAGTTATAAATCAAAGATTAAATTTTAAATAAAGATTCCTTATTAAGAAATTATTTGCAAATAAATTAGCATTAAAAAAATTATGCAATGAATCGAGAGTTTAATTATTAAGGAATAATTAATATTTGAGATTTAGTGGTTTAATAAGTTTTGAAAATAAAAAACTTACAATAACATGTTTATAATTCAACAAATAATATTCTGAATTCATGGTCAACATTATTCAAAATGATAAACTAAGTTATTTTAATTATCATAGGACTCGAGACTTATATGAAATACAGTGAAAAACATTTAATATTGATTTTATGATTAAAAATCATGTAATTTCATTCTCAGTCTTAAATGTTCACATGTTTGCTAAATTAAGTCATAAAAGAAATTTTCATATTAATCATAAATAATAAAATAATTTAACTAATTAGTAACTTTATTATGTAATCTCCCATATAGTGATTATTTAAATTTACTTCAAATTTTGGTAATAATAAGTTTCATAATTAAAATTTTATAATGACAAATTAATAATAATAATAATATTCCATTTATTATACTCGGTACAAAAATTAAAAGTGATTGCAGGCTGAATTAATTTTAACTGAAAAATAATTTTTACAAAAATTAGAAATTATACAGAATAATATAATAAAAATAATATTTATTAACTAGAACGTATATAATTATTTTAATTCAGACACATACAATTAAGAAGTAAGATTTAAAATTAAAAACAAGAAATATAAATATTACAAATCTTTTATAAAATCATATAAAATCTTAAGCATTTAAATTATATCACATAATAAATCATAAGAAATGAATGAAGAAACCTAATGTAAAGTGAATGAAATTAGTAAAACCATAAAGATTCAATAGATTATAATGTTATAAGTTTGAAATTGAATACATTAGTTACTTTTTCAAAATGTACTCAAAGTTCTAACATAAACACAACATTCAATACCTGAAAGACAGGAATTTAATGCATTTGTAGTGCATTTGAACTAAAGGATACTAAAGCATCAAATTATACAAAAAGTACATTTGATTCAAACAAAATTTAATATCTGATTGGAAAACCGGTTAAATGTGAGCCACAACTGTCTCTATATAAACAACACTTGTATTTCAATTGCAATTCAATTCATTAAACATTTTATACAACAAATGAGTTGTGAAATATGAATTACAGATCCATTTGTATCTTTGTTGTGGTGTGTGTTGTGAGCGCTTTAATCGGCGTCTCTTTGAGTGAACCCCAGAATCAAAGCAAAGCCAAGAATACCAAAAGAAACCCAAAGAATAGATCTCCTCTGAGACGCGATGGAGTGGTTCCCGATGTCATTGATTCCGTGCCAAAGGATAAGATTACGGTATGAATACTGAATACTATACCAAATATTGATAACTGAATATTCTTAATTTCACTTAATATTCTTGATTTCACTTAATATTCTTGATTTCACTTAATATAAGTTGTTATGAATTTTAGGTGAAGTACTCGTCAGGACTTGAAGTGAAGTTCGGCAATGAGTTGACACCGACTCAAGTGAA